TACGCTAGGCACATAATATTCTGTCAAAGACATTCCGTAAGTCTATGAAGGACGAATGTAATGACCCATCCAGATTTTTTATGTCTTTATGTGGATGTTTTGCTTACTACGTCATTAACATATTTTTCAAGAAGGATCACTAAGACCCTGGTAAAGTTGATCAGAATGGATATAGACAATGCTGCCATAGCAAATGTTATAGTTGGCAGCGTTGTCTTACCGACAGCGGCTCCCGATTTGACTTCTATGGTCAGCCACAGAGAAATCTCGGTTCATGGGAGCATCCAACTATTCCTACCTTCCTGCTACTGATTCCTACTTGGTCAACAGTTTGTCATAACTTAGCATAGTTATTCTTAGTTGAAATTGTTGTACTCATGTACTCTATCTGTATGCCTCTTACAAAGTGAGAAACGATTTTAGAATCGAAGTGTGGGACTTACAATGCTGTTGTGTTCAACATTCGCCCCAAGCCTTCCTCGTCTTCTGAGTTGTTGCTTCACTTGAGTTCTGCTGAGGGGTTACCAAAAATTCTAATCCAATATCACTGGTGTGTGCAAGTCGGTCATTTACATAACCCAGTTAGGCTTTCAATATTTCTAAAGGTCCCACTTTGAAGTAAGTCATCTCATTCCCTGCCGATCTACATGTTTTTATCGTCAAATACGGAAGCCTACTTATTTTAGTAGATGAAGGCAGCCAAATAGGCAAAAAACTAAGGTAAATTGTGTGATCTCCAAATTCTCAAAACTTAACTGATCTCAACCTTCTTACTGGTTCCCTTCAGGAAAACATTTCCAAAAGTAATAGATAACAACTATTCTCTGTACCGCCAGTATGATAAGAAAATAATTTTTCTCTTATAGGTCCCCCAGTACCCTTCAAACTGAAGCGGTCTAATTCTTCAATTTCTCACAACTCCCACTCCACCCTTAAGAACGATTTTTCCTGTATAAATTAAAGTTACGGTGATGATGTAGCAATTTGAGGTTGAGCCGTCTATACGATTTGAAGCATAGCTTCTATGTGAATGGTACATGAATAGAACAACTATCATTGAACATATTAACCAAAGTCTGGATTCTACTACTTGGCACCAGGCGCACCTAACTT